ATTTGTCTTATCACCAAATTACCTAGTACATAGATTATAAAGCCGAGTAAACAAAGTGGAATAGATACTAGAGAATGACTTATTATATCAATAAATAGAAATATATCAGAAAACTGAATAGGTAGGTCATGTGTCAAAAAATCTTATCTTTATTGCTTTTAGCTATTTTCTACGTGCGGATAATGAAGGTGATAATTTTAGACTAAAATTAATAGGAACCATTTATTATTTGTCTGTTACCATTATCACTTGATTACCTATGTATAGAGAGAAAACCCCATGCAGACAGGGAAAGTTTATTCACTATCAAGGGACAAAAAATATATTTAAAATGTAAAAAAAATAGGAAGATGATGATCAAAGACAGAAATAATCAAAAGAAGAGGAAGACGGGAGAAAAAAAGGAAGGCAAGAAAAATTAGCTTAAAGAAAGGCAAAAATAATAAACCAGAACACAAGAAAAACTGGACCAGCTTCAAGAAAATTTCAAATTTTAGAGAGAATGGATTCAAACCGTAAACTCTCAAAGAATAAACCAGATTCTAGAAAATCCTGGCAAGGCAAGACAATAAATAAATTCAAGAATGCAATTGAAGAAGTAGGTGAAGAAGTTCATCAGGAAGTTAGGACTGATTATCAGAAAGTTGGAATCTTTTACCAAAAATATCATCTATAGGCGTTTGAGTATTTTGGATTTGCAATTTCCTAATAGTTTGCTTTATATCGAAGGACTAGGATAAACAAAGAAGAGAAATAGGCTTACAAGGCATTTTCCTTTTACAATTATTAACAAATTATTATTATCAATCTGGTGTCGTATTGAAAAACTAGGAGTTGGGCAATCATGGGCAAACGTTAATGATTTCAAACGAATATTAACAGACAAGTGAGTTTTTTGTTGCACAGTTTAACAAGTTGGCCTCGTAATTTTCTACTTGTCAAAATACACACAATTGGCCGGCTCTGGTATACATACACATTTTTTTCTTCATTTACGCCAATGACTTTTCTGATTCATGTCTGTCAGACTAATAATCGGCCATGCATACGTTATTAGTTTGTGGTTACTTGACGTACGCACAAGAATGTTATCTGTCGAGGCTACCGAATAACCAACTAGTAGTCAAAAGTTGTTGGGAGGACATTGTCCAATTTGTAGACACAAAGCAAATATTTTGTTGAATGCCACATTTTGTGTTACTGACGGTTTAAAAATTGCATTCGCTGTTGAAAGCCCTATACGAATAGTCAAAGTCACATCTATTGGATTTTAAATTAATTTTAATCTCATTATTCGTAATATTATCGCGAAGTCCTGAAGGTTCAGGGAAAAAAACGTGTTTAAAATGCATAATGCAATCTCAAATCAGGTTGTAATAATTCATGGTTGTTAAGATTATATTTGATGGTGGTTTTAAAGAGGTTAACTTTAATAGGATTAAGATAAAGCCTATTTTAAAAATAGTTTCCTATATATGTTGAGATTTTATAGTAGCGAAATAACGCGTTAGCGAGTGCATATATTTTAAGAAAATTTTTGTTTCAATCTCACCAAATATGACAATATTATCGAAATTGCATGCATTTGTGAGCTTATTCTTGAAAATAGAAAACTCTGGCAAACAAACCAACTTCTTTGTAAATCCTTTGAGTGTTTCTCTAATATCTTTTGTCCTGGCTAGAAAATTAGGCTACCCCATCATATTGAAAAATCGTATTTGGTCAACCACTGATGCTGGGACAAACCTACACCATCTCATATAAGGCATTCTGTAATTTCACTTTAAAAACGACAAAAATCCTAAAGTATTCTCAGCTTAATTTTCTTCAAATACCATTAATGTGAAATGTGAACCAAATAATTTTATTTTTTGTTATTTATTATGCAAATTTGATTATGTAAATTTTTTGTTTCAGGTATGCATCTGACTGAACAGCAAAACTTCAAGGTAAACTAAAATGAAATCCTGGATCTCAAGCAAGGACCTAAATAATGAGGAAAGAGTTTGTTTTGAAAATACAAGATTTTAGTTGAATCTTCGATAATAATTGATTATAATTGATGGTATCTAAGATAAATCTACTCTTCCATCGAGGGTTAAAAATACCATTTTGTAATAATTAATATTGCATTAATATATTCTTGGGTACCGATATTATTTTGTATCTTATTTATCGCTGAGCCTTCGCCACAAAGTCAATAATAAGCGCTCTCACTGACTTAACTCGCCCATTCATCATAGTGTCGGTAAAAATAATAATTACAAAGGAATTGTTTAAAGAAAGCATTGCATTTTTAATAAGGAATTCTTGTTCTCGAATCTGTTGCCCTATAGACTTTTTTAGCAATAATAAATTAAACCCTTCAATATTTTTTTGTGAAATTTGATTAAATGTTATCGGAATATAAGAAGCCAGCCAGGATTGGTTTATTGAGGAATAATTACAATAAGTATAGTAATTCCCAATACATCCTGCAATTGTTCTATACATCCAGCTGAGGTATTTTAGAATTTTGCTATATGCATTTTATGTTTCAATGCTTCATTGGTATAAAATACCACAGAATTATAACAAGTTTATTATAAAAAAAAATACTATAATGCTGCTGAGTAGGTACATCTGGATTTCTCCACCGCGACATGATTCTAGTGTAAGGTATTGGTGGATCAAAACTTTCTGATATGTGACAGCTTGTTCAGATTGTGACAGCTTGTTCAGATAGTGACATTGACCTATTGAAGTTGTAACATCTAATATCTTCACCCCATTTCTTTCTGCTTCCCGCCTTCTTATTTTGGTTTAAAGTCGCCTATAAATTGGCATGAAATGGCATGAAACAAAAAAAAAAGCTGGCCTAATGTTGTAAATATGTCATGCAATATTGTACTGACAGTGTCCCCAATGTTCAGATACTGACACACTGTTGCTGGTCAAAAGTTTTGTTGGTGCGAAGGATACATCACCTCCTTATAGTGAGCATTAAATATGGAAAAAACACTGAATGAATTGGCGATATAATAACCTAGTAGATTGATTTGAGCCACTCAATAAGTGAACTTTTGTTGAACTAAAATAGCGACTTTAGTACTGGTTTTGACATTGACATTTGACAATAATTCAACAGAGTGGTTTTTCAAGAACAATCCATCATGACGGTACAAGAATTTTGACTTTGCCAGTCATTTTTTTATATTTAAAATCTATCCGTCGAAATGTTGATGTTGATGATCTTCATGACAAATTTAGATTACGAGAGATAAGAAGAAGAAGCTCAATGACAAAAAAAGCTTCTGTGACGTCAGTCCATGGGAATAAGGACCGCGCAGGCGTTGAAGAGCACAATTTTCCGATTCCAAAAATATATAGTTTCTCTATATTTAGTTGAGCCGTTTCCACCATATTTGGCTTCAAAGATTTTAGAAATACATACTATCAGAGAAACCCAGCGTTGCCAGACCCTTGAAAATTAAAGTACTGATCAAGAGACAAAAAATGTACTGAAAAACGGAAAAATGTACTAACTTCAGAAACTGAACTGGAGTTCATAAAACTGATAAAGTAGATGGTTTTAGGATACTCATTTTGTTTTTCCTACTCCTGTACTGCTTTAAATTTAAAACATCAAATAAAAGATCATTGATTTTAAATTATTTTTAATATTTTTTGGTTTGGTTAGTGGGTTATTTAAACACTCGGATGGGCGATGGACTTCACGAAAAACATTGTTTTTATCTACTAGGTACCTCTTTACCTAACTAAAGTCACTAAAGATCTAACTTTACAGATTGGTGCAGGTTACTTATTCAACAAAATTTAATGCTAATATCTTCTAGCTTCTCAAGAATGTACTTGTTAGGCAATTTAAGTTAGTTCGGTAATATTGCCATGTCATCACCCTTATTGGAATTTTTTTTGATCTAAGCAACATTTTATCTAAGCAAAACCCTTCTCTCTGGTGGATCTTGTAATCCAAAGCTTAAACTACTTTTTTCCTGCGGTGCATGACAAATTTCCGAACTAAGCGAGATTAAACTCCTAATCGAGATTAAGTCCATACAGGCGTAAAATGGGCTCGGGCTAAAGGCATGTTTGGGGTGCGTTCAATATTCTGCTGGGATGCACCCGGAGTGATCCGTGCGCCCCGTCCGTCCATTTGAAAATGCAGGTACTCGTTAATTTTTCCCGCCATTTAAAAATATTCCCGGTATTGTACAGCGGCGGCAAAATGTACTGAATTTTATAGTGTGGTACTGACGTACTGAAGAGAGTCAAATTGTACTGATTTCAGTACATCTGTACTGATGCTGGCAACACTGGAGAAACCAAGTGCCTCAAATTTTACATGAAGCTTTCATCAGAATGGTTCACAAAAACGGCAGTAGGATAGAATTTTTCCAATTTTTAGAGCAAAACATGTTGAAGGCGCCTCAAACAAATATAGAAAAACTATATATTAGAAACAAATATAGGGCATTTCATTTAAAAAAGTTGAAAGTACGCAAAATTTCAAATTTCTTACAATAAACTTTTGTTTTTGACGATGGATGCTGAAAATTTAGTTAAAACTGCACAACTTTTGTGTTCACTCCTATCATTTACCTGTAAAGGTTAAGGCTGCCGGTGGGGTGTCAAATTATAACCAGACACCCTGTACATACAAATAGAGTAGGTTAGAGGTCCGTGATAAAATGACGCCATGAAATAAAATTCTGTTATATACAGGCCCTGGTAAACCCGGAAAAATTGATCGATTTAATGTTGCGGATTTTTAAAATTATTTTTTCTTATCTAGGGGGGGGGGGGGGGGCATGGTCCCCATGGCCCCTCCCTGGATCCGCGTCTGACTTGAATGGACAAGAGATGATTCATTTGACAGGCATAGCGATTAAGAAGAGTTGACAAAATTGAAAATGCATCCCAACCCAAAGTAGAACTGGCCATCTATGATATACAGGAAAGAGAGCATAGGAAGGTAAACGTGCTCATATTTGGACCTAATGAAAGTGAGGCAGATACAAGAGAAGGCAGAGAAGGAAATAAAGGTAGTGGGAGATCTCATAAAGTGGGTAAACCCTAATACACCTCTTGTAGATATCAAAACACTTCGGCTTGGCCAATTCACACCAGAAAAACTTAGGCCAGTCAAAGTGCTTTTCAACACGGAAGTAGATGCGTTGTCCGTCCTCAGATTTAAGAGTAAACTGGAGAGAACAAGAAAATAATATGACCAAACTAAAGCATAAAGAGCCTACTAAGGCAAGGGTATACGAGAATTTGAGGAGAGAACAGCAAAGGGTGAGATAAATATCAAAATCAAATATCATAATGGGACCCCAAAGATCGTCAAATCCAGAGAGGCCATGGCAAATGCTGAAGGCAGCCAACAGCAGCCAAAAAACTTCCAATAATGTCTAAAGTTATATTTTACTATACAAATGCCAACTCACTAAATAATAAAATCCATGAATTTCAGACAGACCTGCTCAGAAATAACCCAACTTTCATTCTGGTTACCAAGACATGGTTTCACAAAGGAATACCGAACTCACTCATATGCCTACCTGGAATTTGAATTAGAAGTGGAATTTTGGAGCTTGTCTTATGACACACTGTACTGTCGTCTACGTTGCAAATTATTTTCAAAGTCACGCCCACTTCCAATTCAAATTGGTGCAAGCAGCTTGACATGGCCAAGAAAAAATTCGAAATTACAAATTTGATGGTTAGATTCAATGTTTTCTTTTGGTCAAGTACAATGCACAATTTTTCCCGCTCAAATTTCAATGTAAACGGCCAGTCGTTCAACTGTCAAGTAATTCCAATTGCAATTTGAATTGGAATTGAATGTAAATGTAGCTTAACACTGCAGGTACAAATACTGACAATATGGAATTCAGTAAATTTGAGGGCATAGTGAAGCCTATATTCCACTCAAACCTAAGCTTGTGAATCATAAAAAACCTTGGTTGAATAATGCAATATTTAGAGCAATCGAGAGAAAACGAACACTTTGGGATAAATACGCGAAGAACAAAACAGCAGATAATTACAATTTGTACAGAACTCAAAATAACAACTTAAAGAACACAATCAGGGCAGCCAGGATAGAATACGAAAATGGTCTCTTGGACGACAGAGACAAGAAACAGTTTTATATGTATGTTAAACGAACATTAAACAGCAACGCATCTGAGCTTGTGCTCAGAGAACCAATCACCGGAGTGATCAGCTCTGATCCTCAAAAGACAGCTGACACATTCGCGGATTACTACACCAGAGAAAACCTAGTAAATTTTGCATCACTATTGCAGAATACTAGATCTATTGAATCATTACCAATCATAGATATCACTGAGGAAAAGGTTATTCAAGCAATCTCTACTCTCAAAAGAGAATCTAGTCCAGGCCCGAATGAAATACCGGCAATATTCTTGATAAATTGCCAAAGGCTCCAGTGATAACCGGCCTCTTGTTGTCACTAATCACTCAGCAAACTGTGCCACAGGGATGGTCTTGAGCATACGTAGTGCCAATCTACAAAAAAGGAGACAAGCTCAACCCTGGAAATTACAGACCAATTAGCCTTACCTGTAACCTCTGCAAGATCATGGAAAAAATAATAATTCAGGAAATGACAGCTTTCCTTGTTGAAAACAAGACCATCACACCCATTCAACATGGTTTTCTTCCGCAACGAAGACATTTGACAAAGTGACATTCAAGAGGTTATTAATCAAACTGCATCACTTTGGAATCAGGGGTGAGCTCCTCGGATGGATAGGCAGTTTTCCGAACCTTTCAAGTGAGAGCAAATGGGCATTTCTCTCATGAATACAAACAAGGTCCTTAGTGGGGTGCCACAGGGATCGGTGTTGGGGACACTACTGTTTACCGTATACATCAGCGATCTTCATTATAATGACGAACATCATTTTTTACGCTGATGACACAAAAATATACTGCAATCCATGCTTGGATCATCACTTTTAGACGACCTGAAAACACTCCAGAAATGGATCAGCGAATGGCACCTAACACTCAACCCCGACAAGTGCACTGTACTGCACATTGGCCCTAACAATCCAAACATACCTTACAGCTTAAACGGCACCACCGTGAAGGCTGTCACTGAGCAGAAAGATCTGGGTGTCATTATCTCAAATCATCTAAAATGAGAAGCCCATATTTCTTCAGTTGTCAATTCAGTTGAGATCTTGGCAGAATTCAGCAAAGAGTGGCAAAACTCTCCCCTGAAATCAGAAATCTCTCATACGAAGAAAGACTACTGAGATACGACACAACAACCCTAAAAGCTAGACAAGAGAGAAGGGACTTGATCGAGACATACAGAATCTTAAATTAACATAATTCTCCAGATTTGCAACTGGACATTTTCAGTCTAAATACTAACCAGCAACTCCGAGGCCATACTGAGAAGCTGGATGAAAAGAGATGCTCGAACCTAATCAGAAAGAATTTTCTGGCGAATAGGGTGTCTATCAGTGGAACGCTCTTCAGGAAAGCACAGTCAGTGCTCCTACAACGAACGCATTCAAAAACAGACTTGGGGGACCTGGAAAGAGCTAGACTGAATTTTGTGCATTTCATGTGACTCATCAAGGATATAACAATACAGCAGTAGTCTCATCGGCGTTGCCGCTTACTGCTGCTCAAACCTATAATAATAATAAGAATGTGGATAGAAAGCATGATAAAGATGATTTCCAGTACCTAATGAGAGAACATATCAAGTCATATTTCACAAATTATCTACTATTGGCCATTAGCAAATGAGTAAAAAAAATTTAAATCAAATATTTTTTTTAAATCATTAAAATTTGAAGAAGGAAAAGAAGTCACATATTATCGTAATAGCCATAACTTTTACTTTTAAGTAGTTAATTTGCTAATATTAGTTAAAACTGTTGAAAGGCACTGGCACCCGCTTATTAAAATTTTCACTTCCAGAGAAAGTTCTACGACCGCTAGGTGTTCGTCGGTACCATGCAAATACAATTAAGTTTGAAGAATCTTGACTTGAGTGTACAGCCGATATTGTGCAAATGCGTTATGCGATTTTTTCGCATAGGTAATATGAAGTTTCTATGTACAGACCAGTCCATTATATTTTGACACCCATCTTAAGTACTGGACGGTTGCTACAAAAAAACTTTAAATACAAAAGTAGATTTCTTTCTAATTTTTTTTTTGAGTGTCAGAAAAAAACAAATGAGCACAGTAATTTTTTTTTTTGTAAATCAAACACCAAATACGCTTTCATAGTTTTTGATTCTGTAGAAAGTTATAAGCCTTCATGGTAAACCACTTCCTTGGAAATTGTATTTTTATGATTTTCGAGACCGTTGACACTATTAAGGCAAAGCGCCCCATGGACCTGGCTTGGACTTGATATCAAGTTGGCGTACGGTTGAAATTTTCTTGAATTGAAATTTAAAACATGTTAACTACTTATTAGCAAGAAATACTGTCATGCTAGCTTGGCAGATACATCTTGATGTGCATTTTCTACAACAATTTCCTAAGCAGTTTTCTCCCGAGTTTTCTCCTGTTATTTTCTACTTGTTGAGGCACCCTCCGCCTACTTCTCAGAAGGTCTTTGCTTTGATTCCAATTCGTCTTGATACTGAACAACTTCCACTTCGATCCCTTTCAGCACACCATCAAGTTTTCATATTTTTCAAAAGCTCTTGGATGTTTGGACCATGGATTTCAATTTTCACCAAGTATCGGCTCAATCAACTCAAATTTTGTTTCTTTTTGAGAAATACATTCTTGTGATTGTTATTGTAATTATGGTATGGTAAGTATAAACCAAGGGGCAAACCACCTAGGAATTCTTTGCCAAAAATGTGGGAAATTTAGAGGAATTTTCAATTTGTGGGGAATTTATAGCTTTTAACAGGAATTTGCGAGCAGTTTGGAAGGATTTGCAGGGAAATTTGTAGGAATGTGCGGGAAGTTTGAGGAATGGTTTGCACAAATTCGGGGGGTGGTTTACCCCTGGGTCACGTTGGTAAAAATCAAAGTAAAAAAACCTCGAAAAAAAACTTTGAAGCTTCACAGCTGAAAACTATTCAAGCTGCATTAAAATTATTTGCAAAGGATTTGTAAAGGATTCAATTGACTTTATTTCAAGCCTATTCACGTTAAGATCGGATTGAAATTAACAAAGTTGTGAGATAAAATGTGGTTCAATGTCATGTTGGGAAAAATCAATCTTCCAAAAAACGACATTGAGGGACCTTTTATTTTTTTTTGAAGAGAATGTTTGAGGTATTGGATTCAAATTTAGCAAGTGCGTAGAAAAAAGATTAAAATCTATGAAAAAAAAAATTAATAAAATTTGCTTTTACATGCTTACCTTGATTAATCCAATATCCAAAAGACTTTGAACCTTTGCAGTTGCGAAACTGTTGAAGCTGAATTGAAATTATTTGGTAAGGATTTGTAAAGAATTTATTTGGCTTTATTTTGAGCCTAATTACGCTAAAATCGGATTAAAATTTACAAAGTTATAAGGCTAAAAATGTGTTTATGTTCATTTTGGAATAAAATTAAATTTCCAAAAAATGACATTAAGGGACGTTTTATTTTATTTTTTCGAGGAAAGTGTTTCAAAAATTGGATTGAAAGTATGCAAGTGGATTAAGAAAATATTGAAATTTAGGAAAAAAAATAAAAATTTCCTTCTGATCGTTAAACTTGGTAAAAATTAACGTAAAAAAACTTTGAAGCTTCACAGTTGAAAATTTTTCGAGCAGGATTGAAATTATTTATTAAGAATTTGTAAAGAACCTAATTGGCTTTATTTTGAGCCTAATTACGCTAAAATCGGATTGAAATTTACAAAATTATAAGGCAAATATGTGCTCATGTCATTTTGGAATTAAAGGACATTTCATTTTTTTTTTTTGAGGAAAGTGTTCGATAAATTGGATTTAAATTATGCAAGTGGATAAAGAAAATATTAAAATTCGGGAAAAAAATAAATCAAATTGTTGTTCAATTGCGGGTAGGTGGTTTACCCCTCGGTATGTACCTTCATCCACAGGCCCGCTAAGTTTTGCCTCTAATTCTTCATCATATTTTGGTAGAATATCATATTCCTCAATGGCAAATTGAGGTTGCTACGAAGAAGTTGGTGGTTGACTAACTTCAATAGGTATATATAGGTGGATTATAGATAGAATGAGGTGGTAGATAAACAACATTCCTCCAACTCAAGTAACATTTCATAGCAAATATAATTTTTACCACTTAAATTCCTTGAAGCTCGGTCTCCATACATAAATGGCATTCAAATATGCAACGGAATCGTAATTTCTACCTCTGGCTTTTCCAGCCTAAAGGGGTCGTATGTTTAAAATACCCCCATCAGTCGCAGTTCAGTGAGTTTTGATTTAAGTCTGAATAAATACAAAAATTTACCACCCCTATTATCTCGGAGTTGAAAATTTTCGAAAAAATCCCTGAAACTCGTCAACTATAATTTGAAGGGTTTTTATTCAAAATTCACCTCTCCCCTTTCAACCCCCCAACCCCCAGAGCGACCTCCTAGAAAATCTTAAATGGGAGGGGGGTCAAGTGATACATCATTTTGGAGGGTTTTTAATTTCATACATTTTGGTACTAAATTTCAATTCCTAAATTCAACTGTTTTGGAAATATTGACAGTTGAAAATTGACTTCTTTGCAACTTTGACAGGCTGTAAAACCTAAGCGGTTAATTTTAGAGGAAAACCGATCTAACATTCTTATCTCAGATTTTTATAAACGTTTTTTGACATTTGACAGCAACTTTGAAGTTAATCAATGATCAAAAATTTCGGTTAAAAATTTAATCTCCGGTTAAATTCAAAGTTGGTGTCAAATGACCAGTTCTCCTCGAAAATTACCCGTTTAGGTTTTACAGCCTGTCAAAGTAGCACAAAAGTCAATTTTCAACTGTCAATATTTCCAAAACAGTTGAACTTAGGGATTGAAATTTAGTACCAGAATGTATGGAATTAAAAACCCTCCGAAAAGATGTATCACTTGAGCCCCCTTCCCATTCAAGATTTTCTAGGGGGTGGCTCTGGTTGCTGGGGGATTGAAAAGGGATGTGAATTTTGCATAAAAACTCATCCCCTCTCAAATTATAGTTGACGTGTTTCAGGAATTTTTCCGAAAACTTTTCAACTCCGAGATAATAGGGGTGGTAAGTTTTGAAATGAACACCCTGTATTTGTAGTATATGGTTGGATCTCCAGTTCAAATATGACACCAAATTACTAGGCATGAACATGTCAATGTTATTCTGTATAGGTGTTAATAAACAATAATAATATATATTTGTGAAAATTCTAGACCTTATCAATTAATTATCACGATTATCTCACATATGTACTTGGGAGGGAAACTATAACATTCTCTGGCCAGCGCTCCCACTAGCCCCAAACAGCTGACGGTACCCAGTCAGTTGTTACTTGTTCGTAATCGGTACCGGTAGACGTCGGTTCGTGTTGTCTCGTTAACGCAGGTGGTACTAGAGGTGCGCGCGGAAAGTTATTACAAACAGGTGTCTCGTTTTGGTGATTTTTTTTTGCTAACAATTATCTAGAATGTATCTTACGAGGGTGTCCCAATCTGGGCATTGTGTTTTTTTCGCAATCAAATAAATGCAGGTACCCAGAGGCTGCTTTTGTTGCTAGAAAGCGGATTGTTGGAATACTTTTATATTATTATTTTTTTCATGGTTGAACTGTGAATAATGCAACTGTCGCAAGATGTTTTACCTGTTTGGCAATAATATTTTCATTAGATGCAATTTAGACACATACCCTGAAAACGGTTTTGCCATCATTTGTCGATTGAAAATATTGAAATAGTGGAAATGCAAATAATAATAATTGCGGTATTGTCTAAATCTGGATCCCTTGTCGATGTTTCTTGCATCAAGACTTTGGAGGGATTGCCCAAATTTACATAGTCAGTAATTTAAAATGCTCATGCATGTAGGATGGTTGTCATTGTTTACTCTAATTACAAAATCGCGGAAGTGTATTGTGTATCTTATAGGGGACCGCCAGTAGCTTTTTTGAAAAGGTAAATTAATACTCTCTTTACCCTCATAAGCGTTCTTTATCCACAGATCATATTCTTGAACAGTGACAAGTTCCAAATAATTTTCATAAAATAGATATCAGTGATAAAAAGTTCAAATCTAATTATTCATAAAATTTCTATATGCCATTAAAATCATAATTAATCAAAATAAAATATTAACGTTTTGTCATGAATAAGCGTGAAATGTCGCCAGACGATTAATTCAGCCTGCTTTCTGATTTTATTACCACCAAGCTTTGACTCTGAAAGTCACAAACCCATATATCCGGTGGTCATTTCATAGATACTTTTATTCGAAATTTATAGTTGTCTGGGCCTATTGATATTGTATAGCTTAGGGCAGGTTTTAAATAAAACAGCAAAACCAATTAACTAAAGGGATAGTAACAGTTACTTTGTTCTATAGCTTGTTTCAATTTTCAGCAGAAGATATTTTCTACTGTTCATTCAAAATACATTTGCAAAACTTGATGGGGTTTACTGAAGTGGATACTTAAAAAAAATATCAGTTTTTTGGAAAATCGAGGGATAATCCCACATTAACAACTCTATTTTGACAAAAATAATTTTGTAAAAATAGGTAATTCGTACATACACAGAATCTCTATGTAATCAATTTAAAAATGATTCAGTGTGACGCACAACAAGGAATAAATATGATTTAGATAAGATTCTTTTTATCGTTAGGCTGCTATCTGATCCCAAAAAGCTTGCTACTAATTAATTAGTGTTTTTTATGCGACCTTGTCTAAAAATATTCAATATCGAATGGAGATAAGGTCCACCCTATGAGAGAATCCTCTACAAACTTGTAACATTTCAAGAGAAACATGAAATGACCAACCACTCTAACCCCCAGTTTCACAATGTGTAGTCACCAAGTGGTTAAATGAAGACCAAAGTCTTTCACATCATCTGGTCAAGCACCATCTTTCAGTTAACTTTAAGTTTAGTTGACCATAAGAAAATTATGTGGTTAAAATTAATCCAGAAAGGACCTAACCACAATTTTGGTTAACGTCTTGTCTTGTTGATGGGTTGTTTTGAAGAGCACAATGCCCCGATTCCAAAAATATATAGTTTGTTTATATTTGATTGAACAGTCTCTCATATATTCATATTCGGCTCCAAAAATTGGAAAAATACTATCCTACTACTGATTTTGTGAACCATTCTACCTGTACAGGTGAAAGCTGCAAGTAAAATTTAAGGTACTTGGTTCCTCTAATAGTATTTTTAAAATTTTTAGAACCAAATATGTTGGAGACGGCTGAACCAAATATAGACAAACTATATAGTTTTGGAATCGGAAAATTGTGCTCTTCAAGAATATAAAACCAAATATATGGCATGCCATTAGAAAAAAGCATGCAACATTTCACATTTCTGAAATTCAATTTTTGTTTCTGACCATGGATTCTAAAAATTTAGTCAATACTGCACAAATTTTGTATTTACACCTTTCATCTACTTGTAAAGGTGAAGGCTGTAGGTGGGGTGTCAATATATGAAAAACACCCTGTACTTGAACAATAACTTATTATGTAAAGTCAGAATTTGTGGGATTATCCACTTTTTTCAATTTGCCTTTCATCAGGAATTAGTAATGTTACTTTACCAAACTAGTAACATAATGTGACAAGTTATTCAAGTACAAACGAGTGGATTGTTGCGGAACTTATGGGTGGACCTCTGCGGGACGAGCGCAGCGAGTTCCGCAGCCATTTATTCATCAATATGTTGTTTAAGTACCTACATACTAACTTGATTCTCTCAGTTGAGTTTTTCTCATTAGTTCAAAAACTACATTTAAGTAGATGAATGTCTTACTTGAACAGTTCAACAGTATATTGGTGAGTAGGTGGCTGCGGAACTCGCTACGCTCGTCCCGCAGAGGTCCACCCATAAGTTCCGCAATAATCCACTTATTTGTACAGGGTGTTTTTTTATATATTGACACCCCACCTACAGCCTTTACCTTCACAGGTAGAAGAAAGGTGTAAATACAAAAGTTGTACAGTTTTGGCTGAATTTTTAGAAACCATGGTCAGAAACAAAATTTGAATGTCAGAAATGTGAAATTTGGCATGCTTCCAACTTTTTTCAAATGGTATGCCCTATATTTTATTCTATATTCCCAAAGAGCACAATGCCCCGATTCGAAAAATATATAGTTTGTTTATATCTGATTGAACAGTCTCTCATATATTCGGCTCCAAAAATTGTAAAAATACTATTCTACTACTGCCCTGGGACTATGTAACGAATAGAGATATTTTCTCTATCTCTATTGACGTCCCCTCTCTATTGATTTCAAAAAGAGAGAAAAAGACAGCAAGTGCCATAGAGATAGAGATAACGATTTCTATCCGTTACATAGTTCCCGTGCTGATTTTGTGAATCATTCTACCTGTACAGGTAAAAGCTGTAAGTAAAATTTGAGGTACTTGGTTTCTCTGATAGTATTTTTAAAATTTTTAGAACCAAATATGTTGAGACGGCTCAACCAAATATAGACAAACTAAATAGTTTTGGAATCGGGAAATTGTGCTCTTCAAGAACATAAAACCAAATATAGGGCATGCCATTTGAAAAAAACTGAAAGCATGCAACATTTCACATTTTTGACATTCAATTTTTGTTTCTGACCATGGATTTTAAAAATTAAGCCAATACTGTACCTACAACTTTTGTATTTACACCTTTCATCTACCTGTAAAGGTAAAGGCTGTAGGTGAGGTGTCAATATATAAAAAAAACACCCTGTACAGATAAATTTGCGCAAATCGGCCTGCACAGTCGGCCTGTGCAAAATAACTGAGCATCTGTGGGGGCCTTTGGTATATGAAAAGAATGCATCGATAATGAAGACCAAGGTGGACGACGTACAAGAATAGTTAAACCTAGAACTAATTTTTATTAAGAATATGATAAAAAAGATTCTTCTGATCGGTTTAGACTTGGGTTTATCACCATTATCGCCAAGAACAGTGGAAAGAATAAGTGTAGATTGTGGAGGAATTGCAGATTATTTTGCATATTCATTTGAATAATTTTTGTCATTATTTGTCAATCTTGACGAATTTATCTGCGATCTATTACACTGAAATCGTAAAATCTAAAAATTCTGCTGACAACCTAAGAAAAATTAAAACAAAATATTGGTTAATTGACCAGCACATTTTTTTTGCTGTGAAACGCTATATGCCTTAACCATTGGTTACTGTAAACGGATTAGTTAAGTGACCAAGAAGGTCACCAGACATTGTGAAACTGGGCATTAGTTAATCTACTAACTAAAACATATCACTCGCAAACAACAATAATATAAACGATCTGGCTGCATTTTTTTGGCCATTAGATTTTAATTTTTCTTTGTAATATGCATTTTCCCACACTTCTATTTTTCATGTCTTATTTTTATCCTTTGTTTGATACGTTTTAATGTTTTACCCTTTAATCAATAGGGCATGAATCATATTTATCTACGACCTGTAGAGTATGAGGTTAATATTTTTTTCTGGACTTTTTTGATTACAGCTCTAGTGGTGCAACAAACTCATTATACACCACTAGAAATCTAATGGGTTCATTAAGAAACTATTTTCTCTAAATAAATTTAAATTGGATTTTGAACATTTTTATTTATGCCCGGTTTATGCACCTTCTGATAAACTGTCAGGTAAATGCAATCTGATGGATAAAAACGCAATCTATAATCCTATTGGTCGGCCAGGTAATACTTTACTTTCGCGCATTTTGAATTTGAAGAGTGATATTTGTAAAATTGCTGGATATCGGATGTGCCATAATAGCCCTCAGCAACAGTATTGATCTTCAACCTCTTTTCTATGTCAGTGTAGATGCCTAAAAAATTGCATAACCTGAAATCACTCGTCAAACATATGATTTACCACAAGCTACTGGTAAAAGGTATAAAACTTTTGATTTATCTCAATTTTGTGATTTTAACAAAGCAGTAATTGATAAAATCAGAAAGCCACTAATTGTTTCGTAGCTCTAAATAAGAAAAAATGAATAATTCAGTTAAAAAAATGATTGCAAAATAACCCTGAGTCGTTTTCGCAATTGGGAATGCCTCGGGGAATGCAAACAATTGCAAAACTTGTCTTCATTGAGAGGACATTTGACACAATTTAGTATTTTGGTGGTATTGGCTATTTTTATGTGAAAAACAATTCTCATCTACAACCCCAATCAATAGTCTACCCTGCAACTAGAAAAAATATTTAATACGTTTAGATTCTCCTTTTCTCAACCTTCTTATCACCTGCCTTCTTGGAAATTTCTTTCTTGTTTATTGTTTCCAATTTCTTTGGCATGTATCCATCAGCCTATGTTTGTTTCAATATTTTTTTCCAGACCCCATATTGTACCCCTTTAGAGGACTGCAAGTCTCAGACAAAAGGTATCCAGATTCGATATGTCATTATCCAACGGTATGAGGAAATGTATGGAAAAAATATGAGCCTTACTAACCTACACACAGATCTGACATCCTAGTTAAAAATCTTATAGAATTATGATAAGGTAAATTACCCACTTGTTGACAGGGTCCCAAAAGTTGACACATTAGCATATTATTCCCGAAAATAAGAATTTATATAGGTTATAAGCTAACTGAAATAGCTTATAGTATTGTTGGAGCCATCTTTCAGGCTATAGCTGATGTATGGATTTGAAATGACAAGTTTTTTCAAAATTGTGGCAAGAAGTAGTGAACAGGTGCAAATGTTTGAATTTTTTCCCAGATTTCTAGTGAAAATAGTTAAGAAGATATAAAAACAAAAGTTCTCAAAGCTAAGGTAGGGTTGATAAATTATGAATAATATATATTTACTGTATAATAAGATACACTGTAATACATATTTATTATTGTTTTATCTCTTAAACAACTGGCATAAACTTTTTAAAGGGGGGGTGTCAACTATTGAAGCCCAAATCGAGGGGTGATCCAAATGATGGTGTCAACTTATGGATTTTTGGCGGTAAAAATATTTTAGCATTGTAGTCTGTCTCTTTTCATTGCTCTGGATTAAAAAGAAACCTAGATATGGGTTTGGGGAATGTAACGGTCGTAGATCCAAAAGATGACACCCCTGTTACCCCTGTCAAGGTTTGGAGCTTTGGAGTGTCAACAATTGGTCCTTTCAAGTTTAAATCAAGAGATGACGCATGAAAAATGGAAATTGCTGAAATATGCACCAGAACTACCAGAAGACGTGATTGCTGCATTGGATGATTGCGATAGGGGGCTCACTGCAGCTACAGCAGCAAAAAAACACATTGTACCAATGCTTTCCAAGCAATTTCTTTTATTAGCAATTTGGAATTGAAATTTGTATTTTTTTCGCAACAAAAAGTTTCCCAATGTTATTTTTTATTATTAAAAAGTTTGATTCTTACATTATTGATGTTTCTACCAGGGTTTCTACTGATACAGCCAACATGTCAACTATTGGTTTCAAGAGTGTCAAGTAATGGAACCACAACATGTACTTAAAAAAAATTAAAATAACTGGTTATTATGTGTATATATTTCATTTAAAAAATTGTACACTTAGAAAAATATACCTCTTAGTTCCACAGACCGTGATAAAATTTCCTAAAAGTAAAAATTTGGTTTTGTAAAAAAATATATGTCAACCTTTGGATCAAAAATGTGTCAACTTTTGGCGCAGTGAACTTTTTTGGGTGTCAACTATTGGGGTTTTATCACCTTTCAGGTATTTTTGGCATAATAACACAAATAATAGGAATATAGAGTAAATAATATATCTACACATTCAATTATGAGTTTGAAATCACGCTAAAAAATATATCATAGCCTTGGGATTGAAAATTTGGAAAATGTGTGGTGATCATAAGCAAGGATACCCTTAACATGTCAACAACTGGGTACTTTACCTTAATCATAATCCTCTTGAACCAGGATGTTTTGAAGAACGTAACCCAGTGAACGCCAATAATATCGCCATTATCTTTAATGAAATAATCCGGTGAGTTAATTAGAAACGATCATCTTTACACTAGAATTAACCACCATGGAAAATAATGAAGATAGTTCCAATGGGCAATCGAAAGAATTATGATTAAAGAGAAACGGTAAAATAACTCTGATATACGGCTGATAATATATCAAATTATCCAAGTGGATATTATCTATGAAAAAAGTTGGTGAGCATAAGACCATGTCGGTATAAGCAAGGGTATTCCTTCTAATTTATTATGGCTGGTTTTTCAGTTATAATGTTTCAATGCCAACAAAGAAAAAAAAACTAGAATTACATATTCCTCAAAGTCAAAATTATAATTGAAAATTTCTCTTACAGTAATAATAATAATGATTATTAAAATTATTTTTACCTGGAAATGCATGCATCAGAACAAAAAAATGCATCTATCCACACATAGATCTTATAAATCAATACAAAAGTTAGTATGCAGTAAATAATGTGTTGATCGTTATTCGGTATATCAAGTATATTGCACCTACCGAAGAAGTAACGTTATTTTCGCACACTTAAATAGTGGCGGAGCCTTAACTGTTAATAATTTACATTTTTATACCATTTATGTAAATATTTTATTGCTCAGGAGGAGTTTTTGCGGGAAGACTAATGACAGTTCGTTATTAAATATTGTCACATTTAATTAAATAAACAGTAGGCTGAAGTCTATGATTAGTTGGATTTTAATCAAACAAGTTTTTTCTAATGTTTCTGACGATTGCATTCATTTTATTAATTTATCGCCGTCAATTGCTAAACGTCATTGTCAAACCGCAATGTGGTTTTATTATCAGCTTAGTCATAAAAAACGTTATTAAACCAAGCCAAATAACAATAATTTCTAATTAACAATGGGTAGCTTATCAGTAAGTTTTTTTTTTCCTGTACTGTTTACGAAACATACACTGAGTGGCAATAATTATTATAGAAATGATTTGTCTAGAAGGAATTTAGTTAGAATAAGGCTGTTTCGGTACAATAATGAGAAAAATGGAATGTGTGAGGATAATCTTTCGCATAGGTAACCCCCACTAAGAGTCCCTTTTTGGAATTCCAGTCATTGTCGTTTGGAAAGGTTTCTGACGCTCCTCCCAAATCTTTCTGTCAGGATACGCCTCAAATTTTCCCTTTTTTATTAATTCCACTGCCAAGTATAAATCCCCCGCGTTCTATATAAACCTGCCTGGAGGGACTTTTGGTATCCTTCTCAATCTTTTGAATTCCTGGACAGTGTTTTCCTTTGCGGGAGTGTTCATGTCAAACCTTATGTGTCTATGAGTAGAGTATGAAGGTTCCATTGACACATGCCACTTTTTGTTTGTACATATTTATTATGCCCAGGACTTGGTATTGGTTGTAAATAACCCTTCTGTTCTGTTACTTGAAATTGAAAGAGTGACTCACCTCACGTTGTGTGTTCGAGTCAGAGGTCCCCCAGATTCTGTAGTGGGCGTCACATGTTTATGCCCTTGTAGTGATCTATTATTTTCCATACTTTTTGCGAAGAGCTAACCCAAACTTTCCAGGTGCTGGCGTCGTTACGATAACTGTAACAAAATCTCCGGAGCTCAACTCCGGTATTGGTATAAAGTTGACTCTATTATCACAAACTGTGATCTGGCTGTTGACCACTCGTACATTAGCTCTCGTTGCTTGGGAGTTATGGCTGGTATTTTGTTTTCTTGTAACTATGACTTCTGCCAAACTTCTGCATTAGGGCAATCCCATCGTTATCAGAGATATGGCTGAATCAGCCTCAGCATGCTGAAGATTTGCCTGCTGGACCTTGATCACCTGGCTTATTTCTATGTGACACTGGTTGACGGACAGATATTATCTTCATGTTCGACTTTGAAGCATCTGGAAACAAATGGACTTTTAAGTATGTTCACATAAAAGAATGCGTTAGAGTTTCTCTCATAAAATTTCAATTTCCTATAAGAATAATTATGATAACAAGCCGTTTGTTCTCTCTTGTTATATACACAAGATCTTAACAAGACTTTTAAAAGAAATTCATTGTATTACTATACATATCTGGGTTCGTGCCTGCGTTACCTAACCGCTTCCCATGCGGAGTTTGACCTTACCACAGTTACATTTTGCATACTACTCGGCTTTCATATTTTGTTCTCGTTACCTTACATGCTAATTACCACAATATTGCCCTAAAGTAGTTTGTTCAACTAAAAATTGGAATATTATGTCACAAATGAAATTTGACTAAAATAGTTTTATCTTTGGTCGACAATTATAGCAAAACCGTTTTTTAATCATGCATCTTATCTCCCTATTATTATCAGAGAACAAACACAACACCTACGGTACCGAGCTAGGTTTGAAAAGGGATATTTCCTCGGATATTTCCTTAACGTTCTTTGAAAATTATGTGCACCTGTTGAACTCTATTGTTTCATGGTGAAATGTTCGATAGTTGTCAGACAATTCGTAGTGGACCTAGATGCACGCACGTGGCTGAAAAGTTAGTGCAATTATTCGGTTGGAGACATACGTACAATGTAGAAAAGATACAAAGAAATGTTCCTGGTAGGTCCACTACAAGGATTTCCATCACTAGAACTACTCCAAACACAGATGATGATTACCCAGAGAGTCCGACTGAAGAAAAAAAGGTAAGGGATTTCGTATAATTGACAATTTTTCCTTCAGATTCACATTGAAATTTGTAGAAAAAAAGCCTTACAGTTCTTCGGTCAAATTTGATATTTATTTATTATGCTTTAAATAATGAGAATAGGAAAGTCAAGAATGATTTTGGTTGTTCACGTGATGATCACGCAAGTGCAATGTTTATTAATTATTTCTTATCCACCTTGGGAATAAATGGACCTTAGCTAATATATTTCTTGACAAAATATTCGAAATTTGTTTATTGCATATATGCAAATAATTTAATTGTTGCCTGGGTGTATAAACATACAGACTCCCGATTTACATGTTCACTTTATCTATCCATTAGGCTAAAAGCGGTAATTAATTAGATGGGAAAACATAACAAGTGGGTTACTGGTACATAGCGGAACAACCTGCTGATGGTCATTTTTAGAGATTTACGTACTTTTATTGTGAAATTGGTCTGCTGGAATGCCATTTGTTTACTTGTTCAATTGCCTGTAATAATAATTTAATCTTGATTATCGACGTTAACGAGTTACAAGTTAACGCGGAATAAATTATTGAAATTTTAATATTTGTTCTATATTTCAACCTGAGTTAATAATACATATTCTGCTGAAAAGGATTATATCAATAGAAACCTGGAAATTTGCAAAATCGCAGGAGTAGCCAAATTTTCAAGCTACTTGAACATTTTGATAAAATCAACATGGAAATAATTGATAATAGCTAACTTTGTAAATGAAAAAAATCGAATTTCAATGTTGCATTCTATATTTGTGTAATTTCTACAATTAGATTTTTCTCAAACAATATTGAGAGTAAATTGAATTGAAAAAGCTGGTAGAAATCTCTGCATCAAATTTGTGTTGTTCTCTCAACAAAATTTGGATTTTATATTCCATCTGGGGTCTTTTTAATTAACAATTATTGATTAATTAATGTTTTTTCCACACAATGTCATTGTTTATTAATTAACAAGTTCTATAATATGGAATTTTTTTGTTTCCGATTGTTCGAACAAATCGAAGCGCTTGACCTTAATTTTGATTGAGAAACAGTTTAACGTTGTCCATGTATATAAAATAATTATGGTGAATGCAACGTGTTGAAATTCACGTAGTTTTGCAAAAATAATATTTTTAATGATGTGTTTATGTTTTTTGATTCTTAGTTTTCAGTTTCTTCCCTTTTGTCCAATGAAAACTTTTCCATATTGTAATCTCTATACAATTTGTCTCACATACCTAATTGATTTGTTATTCTGTTTTTGCTTTTCTCTATTTCATAAGGATGTTTCCCTAAATTCTCTTTATTTGCATTGGGCTCTAGTTATTTTTCAATTTTTGTGGATTGTGTTGGGTTTTTCCTTATTAACATGCGGCAAAAATTGATTCCCTTGAGGTATTTTTATGAAGAAAACATTCGTCAAAAAATGCTTCCTAAGGGAGGTGACGCCCCTTGCAAAATTGTGCACAATTTCCCCAACTTGAGAAATTTATAACAATATGTATGGAAACTAATTGAAATCACTTAAATATGTTAATGTGTACATACTTCATCAATACATACTTAATTATTATTATTATTATTATTATTGAAATTGAAATTTTTTCACAGAATTGTGGTTTAATGTTGCTGTGACGGGCTATGCCAAGTCACTGCAAATACTATTATTAATAAATTGAATTGAAGAATGATCTGACAATATGGCATGTTTTTGAGATGACTGATTTCTGAAAGTTTTGGGTATATTAGTGTTCAGTCCTAGCTGTTTCAGGTGTGATTTTAATGTTTTGGGTGTGAGGCCTGTTACTAACATAATCAGGGGGATAATAGTAACTTTTTCCTGCTTCCAGAGTCTCTTCATTTCGATTGCTAGGTCTGTGTATTTAGAGATTTTTTTATTGTACTTTGTCTGGATGTTTTTATCACTGGGAATAGCTAGGTCAATTAGGTATGTGATTTTTTCTCTTTTAAACTGAAAGGTGATATGTATCTGGTCTATTGGCGGATATTGTTTTATCTGTCTGAATATTGATATCCCAGTATAGTTTGAAACCCTTGCTTTCGAATATAGACGATGGTAAGGATTTGTAGTATGGCTCTGTATTTTCTATTAGTTTGAATGCTGTGGCCAGTGCTTGGTGGATTACTTTTGCTGCTGCGTTATGTCTTGCTGTGTATTCGGAGCCAGATAGGGACTTGCATCCACTTGTAATATGCTCAATTGTTTCCTTTTGGAGGTGGCATTTCCTTCATGTATCATCTGTTGTAGCCGGGTCTTTGATAATATATTTCTAATAATTTCTGGTTGCTATAACCTTATCTTGGATCGCGAGAAGGAATCTTTCCGTTTCGGGAAAGAGCTGACCATCCTCTAACCAGCGGGCCGATCCTCGAGCCAGGGAGTAGAGCTCCTCGAGAGAACAAATTTTTCGTCTTTATCATTCTCATTTACTTTTCGATTACGTTGACAAAGACGAAACATTCGTTCTATCGGGGAGCTCTTCTTCATGGCCCGAGGATCGGGCTTCTGGTGTATGATGATTTTTGATCATTTAATCTTGTTTCATGTGGTATCTGTGCTATCCACGCAGAATCTTTTCTGACCAGGTGTTCATTTTTCCCTGTTGCAATTGCTTGATATTGTATATGTCTATTCGAGTGTCTATTAGATGTGTTGTTTGGGATAGGTTGAGGGGTGTATAGTTTTTATCTGCTATGCTTATCGCTGTGTGGAGCCCAGTCTGTCTATAGAAGAATTTCCTAAGTGTTTGTATTTGCCTTGCGTGTAGTGATGTTACGTCTACAATTCCTCTTCCTGCTTCATTCCTCTTGATTGTCAGCCTTTCCTTGCATGAATTGGGGTGTGACTTTCTTTGTTTGGTAAATTCAGAGCGCATGAGGATGTTAATGTTTTCCAGGTTAGTTTCGGACCACTTGATGATACTGAATGAGTATGTAAGAGTAGGAATGGCATTTCGGAATTCAGTTTTAAGCTCTATTTTGATGTGAGTGTGATTGAGTATGGTACTTTGATGGAATCCTAGGTATTTATATGTTTCATTCCTGAGTATGTTGTCTAGTGTTTCACTATCGACGGTTTGGACATCATGATGTTTTTTCCACTGGCCTTTGTTTATGCGGAGTACCCTACATTTACTTATCCCAAACTCCATACAGACGTCTGAGGTGAATGTTTCTGTAATTTTGAGGAGGCTTTTCAACTGGGGTTCTGTGGCCGCGTAGAGTTTGATGTCATCCATATACAGTAAGTGGTTTATTTGGTGTTGGTTTTCTTTCTTGTGTCTGAGTTGAGAACCGTGCTTCATATTGTTAAGTGTATTAGAGAGTGGATTAAGACAGAGGCAGAACCATAGAGCGCTAAGTGAATCGCCTTGGAAAATACCACGTCTGAAATGGAGTTCTTCAGTTTGGATGTATTCGGTTTCTGTATTTAGTCGGATTTTGGTTTTCCAGGATCTCATGATTTGTGCAAGAAACACTCTGAGATTTTTGTTGATTCTGTAGATTTCAAGGACTTTCATCAGCCAGCTATGGGGTAGGGAGTCAAAGGCCTTTTTATAATCTATGTACCCGATGTGGAGGTTTCTGTTATCTTTTCTAGTTTGTCCCATGATGACATTATCTATAATCAGCTGCTCCTTATAGCCCTGGTGATAGGTCTATAGTTTGAGGGGACTTCAGTGTCCAAGTTTTTGGGTTTGATGTAGTTTATGCCTTAGGTTAGAAATCTGGGTTCTTGGATGATTTTGTTAAATTGGTGTGTAAGAGCTTTATGTGTAGCTGTAAACTGTTTATACCAGAAGTTTTTAATGTTGTCTATGCCAGGGCATTTCCAGTTGTGTGTGTATTTGATTGTATTTGTGATTTCTTCTTTTGTAAGTATGAAATCTGGTTGTTCTGGTATATGTCTGTGTCTTTCTTCTTCGGTTTTAATCCAGGCGTTGTTGTTGTTGTGTTGTTTTCATTCTGACCACATGCTCTTCCAGTAATTGGTTAGTTCTTGTTTGTCTGGTGGTTCTATTATTCTTGCTTCTTGGCTGGACATGGTTCTTCGGTAGAATTGCTTCTCATTTCTTAGGAAGAGGTTGTTAGTGTCTTTCCTTTCGTTTGACTCTTTGTATCTCCGGACTCTTGACGCATGTACAGATAATTTTTGCTTATGCGTATCAAGGATTTCTGGCATTGTTTGGGTGGGGTATTTTGACTTTATTTTCATTACTCTCTGTGTAACATGTTTTGAGGTATTCCCGTTTGTGAATTGGGCGAGTCGCCCTAGATCTTGCCTGATTTTACTGATTTTATTTTCCAGTCTTATTTGCCATTTGAAAATAGGCTTTGTTTTGTTGGGATTTAGTTGTTGTTGTGGCAATCTTTGATTATTCTGTGCGATTGAGGTGATAGCTGCTGAGTAGATTATTGTATGGATATCTTCAATTGTATTTGCGTTTGTTATGTACTGTGGTATTACATCTTTGTTGGTTGTATCAAGAATTTGTTGTGTGTTCTGCTTGAAGACTATCCGAGGAATTGGTTTTCTCGTTGTAGGGTCAGAGCCTGACCATTGACTTAGGCGTATCTCCATTTTTGTTTTAAGTTTTTGTAGAAGAGGTGATTCGGGAATATATTGTGTGGGTGTGGTTAGGCTTGTAAATTGGTTGACTGGAAACTCTGTGCTGTTTTGTTGCTGGGGTTTTCCTTCTTGTGTAGGGGGGTTGAGAGTCTCTGAGTTCAGGTTCTCATTGGAAAGTGGTTGAATTGGTGCTTCATCTTTCTGTTGTCATTGTTCAGTATGCTCGGTGTGTTCGGAATATACGTTAGTTAATCCTGTGTTCAGTTCGGCGACTACTGAATCCTTGATATTTTGTAATTCAGTTGACGTGAGGCGATTATTCTTGGTGATGGTTCTTTTTTGGTCTATTACTCTCTCTGTTCCGTGACAAGTTGTTGAAGATATGAAAATTCAGCT